TTTACAAAATTGCCCGTTAACTTAGTTCACTCTGTATAATGACGAATACTTAGTAATTCAATAATACATAATTACAATGCATTCCACATAAATATGCATATTTACTTAGGGCGCTCGAACACTCGAAAGTGAATATTTGATATTGCCATTACTTGATTTGAAACTGATTTTGCCATTTAAGAACGCAGCTGGCATTGGTTATCGCTGTCGCACACATAGGAGTCTGTGAGAGATGCAACATGGTCTACGTGTTGCTACGTGACAACATGGTACCTTTGCAACTTAAACATAGCCTTTTTCGTTGTCAGCTAGATAGAGATTAAAAAATGATGAAAAAATCAGTAAACTGAAGGAATTCCGGCCTGAAACTTAAATCGCTTCCGTTGCGAATATAACTCTGAAGATGCTAGCGAAACGTCAAGATCAAATTCCTCTTCACGCCGGCTGAATAATCCGAAAATCTGTTCTCGACAAGAAATCCTTAACAAAAATGGGATGAATCGAACATTTTTGAAACGTTTTGTGGCTTAAGTGTTGAAAAACCATAAAATTGTTTTAGCGGATAAACATCCACTTTGACCACAATCCTCAATTAAACAATTGCAAAGTTCCATAAATTGCCGTCTTCCTGATGAAACCGAATTCTAATTGTTTTTAACAACTAAACAACCAACAAGTTTACTGATAATCATAATTAGGCCGTAAAATGCGTGTAAAACTCGAACTTTACAGACAAAAGGCGCAAATAACATGTGGTTTTACAGTGACGCTCCTTTAACATATGTGCACTTTGAATGTACGAAAATCCATAATGCACTCGTAAATATTCCCTCAATTTTCGATGTTTAGAACATCCAATGCCGGGAAACATTTTATCTATTGGCTATGGTTCGATCGATAAGGCTTTCCCAGTGAAATGATGCGGAAAATGTTGGCAAAAAATATTTCCAATAGTATTAAACACATTTTACCTCCCACAAAGGGACATTTTTACATTTTCTGAAGTTTTGTACTGAAACATTTCGAAAACTGCCTTATTCTTGTTTTCATGTCTTCAGCTGTTGCAGCTCATGTTGGGGCCTGTTTGTAAACTTCAGCCTTAACATGACAATAGGAAAAAGTCAATTAGTGTCAAGTCGGGTGTTTTAGGTGGCCTTTCAATTGCACCACGGTATCCAATCCAACAATGTCTCAGCTAAATCTTGGTTGCACCACTCTGTATATTTGATTTATTTCGTGCATTGAATACAGTAATAAAATGCAGGAGGAATTACTGAACTCTGAATTCGAACTGGTTCCAAAAAAACTAAATTTTGCTGTTGAAATTCAGTCTGATTGGAATTTTGTTCAATGGCAGACGAGTTTTATCCACTGTAACGCGGCGCACGTCGTTCAGGAAAGCGTCGCGACGCAGGGCGTCGACATCATAACAAAATCAGCTTGTGGGTGCAATTTTGTGTAGTTTTAGTAGCTGCCGCTTACGAAAAATGACCGCCAAGGTGAGTAGTTGCATTTGTTAGCGCAATTAGCGCATTTGCCGGCCGAAATCAGAAAATTACTTCGGTACACATCAATGGCAAATTGAGATGGTCGGCCATCCGGAAATGGATGCTTACGTCAAAACCTGCGAAAATGCTCGGGAGTCGATTGCTGAAAAATTTTCTCAGCTGCATTTTTTTAAATTAAATTAAATTTTTCTGTTCAACCGTTTTACAGCACGACTTCGACATTACTTAGTCGGTTAATTATCACTGCTCTTAATTGAACGTTTAGAGCAAGAAATACCTAATAAAACAATAAAAAAATGCAATTTAATTGACTCTCTTGCATTCTACCAAAAAAAGGTTTCCTCCAACTCAACAGCTACAGGCTCGACCGACTTCCATAAAATGCCTCCGGCCTTCTTGTTCTAGAATAGACTCCCGCAACCTTAAAAGACATTAAATTTGTTATTAAACATTAAAATTATAGCCAGGATGTGAACCATATTTGCGGTTTTATGCGGGCAGAGCTTTTCATACGCGCTAAGAGACGAGATGTGGATGTTCGTGTCGTAAACATTGCATTTGTATATTGGTTTAGTGTCTTGGAGTGTTGATGACCTTTAATCCCAGTGCATCCAGATGTATCAGCCATAATGAAAATTGTACACACTATTTCGCAAAGGATGCATGAAAAGGTATAGAAGTGTTTGAATCTAATCGGACACAAAACCGCTCTTTGGTCAGTAAAACCACTTCACTTAGTTTATTTGTTTTACTAGTTAGTTTTATGCGAAACACTTTTAGCGAAAATCCGATTTTTATCATCAACTGTTTGAATTTTTCTTAAGTAAATTTGAATAAAAAGCAATTAGCGCTTCGAATGTTTGTTTGTCCCAAGCGTTTTGGCAGTGACGTACTAATTGTTCTTTTTCTATAGATGGAAATTTGATGGTATCACGTGAGTCTTTGATCAAATTGTTTCAAATCGCGGAAGTGTGGAAAAATATCTACATTTTGTAAAGCAGTTGCCAGTTTCTGTGAATTTTTTTGAAATCAGTTCGTATTTTATGAAGAAAAATAAAACTTCTACACTTGCATCACGCAATATTTATGACTGAAATGAATGAAAAATAATGATAGTTTTTCAAACAATCGATCTAGAACTTGGGATTTAATGGACTGAAAAAACAAAAATTTCAACAAGAAGTTGAAAAGGGTTTCATCTTTTTATTCTTGTGTGCTTTTTTGTAGCTGGAAAGCGACAGTTTCCAAACCGCTTCGTCGCAATAAAAAGTATCAATCTTTTTCACAGAAAACCTGCATTTTTTGGGCATTTTCCTGTATATTGAATGGAAATGTATTCACATCCGCTGGTGTTTTATCTGGATTCAGCCAGTACAAACCGCCAGTTAATTTGTTTGGCTGGAAATTGAAGCCTTCCAATAAAGCAATCAAATCGAAAACCTAATTGAATTGGATGGAAATAACACAGTTGGGGAGTTTTTTTGATTGGGTCTATTTATACGGCGCGAATGAATGAACGAAAGACGGACAAATTATCAAAAAATGGTTGTTATTCGCCAGCAAAAATCTGGTTAAAAGGCTGCCGATCTGACTTCAGAAAATTGCCAGATTTTGCATAAAAAACCGCTCGACTTAAGGACGTAAAACTTCTATTTTTCCGTTTAGACACTAAGCGCATTTTTGAAGATATCGAGCTGATACTTTGCACACACTTATGGTATTCAATCAGTTTTTGGGTCCCAGAATTTGGCGACTTTTGCGATATTGGTGCCGGAAAAACGACTGAGAATATCGCAGAGTATATTTTTGCAAGCGTATTTATTGGGCTTTATTCTGGTATAAAAACATTTCAGATCCAACTAGGGCTTTGCCCCTTTTTTAGCGTCTGAAAGTTTCCAACCGTCATATCGCCGAAAGGGTTGAACATTTCTGAACAGCTGTAATGACCGTTCCGATAGCCTATGTTGAGGACTATTTTTCAGCATTAAGGTTGTATCAGAAATTCCTAACTTTCAAAAAGCTAGAATCAAGAACATACAATTTTTAGGCCAATTATGCATAACACGCCCTATATCTCTGAAACTTCGAAACGAAGACTTCGTGGGCGATCTTTCACTAAGAAGGTTTTATGCTCAATTTATTACTGTTTCAAAGATTGAAGCGAAAATGTTAACATTTTGAGTTATATGCAAGTTTAAGCCGCATATCGCGAAAATCTTCAGAAATATCTAAAAAGTCATAATGATCTTTTAGAAAGAGCCCTTCGAGAGATTTTCATAGCTCACCAGTTCTGATCCAGAATTCCTAACCTCTAAAGAGATAGAAGCCAAAATGTAGTCATTTTGGGGCCATCAAAGCCTAGAACCCTCCATATCTCCGCAACAGTTGGAAATATTCTATCAGACCTCAGGACCATTTCGATAGCCCCTTTTAAGAGCTATCCTCTGCTGGGCAGGTTTTATCAAGAATTCATTAGCGTTTCAACAGTAGAAGTGAAAAGTCCAAATTTAGACATATGTGCCAGTTTGAGAAAGAATATCTGGGAAACGGTTAAAAATTGCTGATTAGTCGTACTGACCTTTTATCAAGAGCGCTTCGAGAGCTTTCCATACATTACTCTGGTTGATCCAGAATTTCTAACCTCTAAAGGGGCAGAAGCAAAAATGCAGTCATTTTGGGGTTATTCGAGCTTATAACTCCCTATATCTCCGAAACGGTTGGAAACTTCCAATCAGTCAAAAGAACCTTTTTGAGAAGTATTTTTCACTGATTAAGGTCTAGTGGGAATTCATAAGCGTTTCAAAGTTGGAAGCGAAAATGTTAACTTTTTAGGGGATGCGCAAGTTTACGTAGGAAAATTGCGGAAACGATAAAAAATATTAAATTAGTCGTAATAACCGTTTGAAAGAGCGTCTCAAGAACCAACTTTTACTCCATTGGCTTGATCAGGAATTCCTAACCCCTAAAGAGATGGAAGCAAAAATGGCTTAGACGATGGATAAGAGCGGGGAAATTTCTTACTTGCTATGACTTAAAAAAGCATATTTCCCAGTAGTTTTATCACTTTTCCGAGATTCCAAAATCATTCCCAAATAACATGAAACTTGAAAAATCGCTGAATTTTCGAACTCATTTCTTTGGGACCGTTAAAATGCTTTGACTAAAACGCGCATTGTCTAGCTTTTGCGACAAAGTCATGCTCTCAGTGCGGCCAAATAAAAGCAATACTAAATACACTACATACTTCAGTTTTGGGCGATAAATGATGCATATTTCAGTTTTGGAATATAAATAAATGAGCTTCTTTTCCAGACGCGCCCATCAAACACCCTACTTGGGAACGCCAAATTCCGTTTAGTCCTGAGGGATTGTTGCTGATTAATCGACTGTTTGTGGCGCACTTTTTTAATTAATCATCACTGACGCACGCCGCTCATTCAATGTCCGCAGGAATCGAGTTTCATTAATTCCTTTGACGTCATGCAATGCACTTGGAGCATTCCTATAATTCGTTCCGTTTTTGCGCTAATTATTAGTTACAGTTTTCCGTATTTGCTCACACTTTAGTCTTCGACTTGGTTTCATCCACAGTGTTTAGGTGCATTCTTTTCTGACAATCAATATTGTTTAAATATGCTGCCAGTGGCATGGGAAAAACTACTCTAAAGCATAATTAGTGCGTTCTGGATCCACCGCACGTTCAGCCCGCATGTTTAATATTTAATTTATCTGATAAACGATAAGAAAGATTACCCACCAACAGTTTTAACATATCCAGGCTCAGTTTATTTGGAGTGTTCGGTATACTAGCCATATTTTCCAGTTATTTTTAGCTGCGAATGTTGTTTTTGGTTCTTTGTTGTAAGTGACGTGAGTTAGTGAGGATCGATCCGGTTTTGCGTGCATTCACAATGGACTTCTTCAGGAAAATCAACTGCTTTGGACGATACGATTCTGTAAGTTAGTTTTGTAACCATTTTAGCCAAAAGGAGCGTCTGGAAAACGCTCATAAGTAAAATTTTCCAGCGAATCCATACTAAACGATCAAATTACATTTGATGATGATTCGCGCGTATTCCGCTTTCGTGGGAGAGCAAATATTTCTCTATTGAGAGAAAAATTGCGGAAACTGATTGATTTTTTAAGTCCTTGGCATGTTTTCTCTTTCCAGATGACCAGGTATTCAAATGCAGATTTTGGCGACGACGACAGTGTAAACAGTGTGCAGTTAACCGAAGGTAAATTGGGTTTTCATGGTTGAATTTGTCAATTATATCCCCAGGTTTACCTGGGAGTCCATGAATCGTTTTCAGTAGGTTTAGATTATAAAATTATGAAATATTTATATAATTTGCAAGATGCTTAATACCCAGCATCTGAAGAACTTCTTTATCGAATTCAAAAAGCTTTTGGTTCCACTGGTTTTAGCTTGTTTTGTCTTGATGTATGTGCGATTTTTTTAGGAATAAGTACAAGTGCTACCCACATAAGGTATCATCCAGGCGCCAAACTATGGCAAGTAAGATCCACTATGGAAAGGATTCTTCTTTTTCTAACTGCCTTTTTGTTCATGGTGGTTATAGCACTGTCTATTGTCGTCAATGTGGTCGAACATCAGCTCGAACAGGCCAAAGTAAGTTTTCTTAATACTGAAAACAGGTTCTTGAAAATTACCTTAGGAAATTCAAAATACACATTCTTGAACTTGATTTAATAATAGGATTTCAAACAGTGTGGAAACTAAGGCCGGTGTAGGACTACTTTTGATTGGTGAACAAAACCTAATGCGCGAAATGTGACAAAATGCTACATTCGAATTTAAAAAATTGCCAAAAATAGAGAAATATAGCCCAGCAAATTCAAGCATTCAGAGCTAATAGAGAGAAACGCGTTCTATCGATTGCTTTAATGATTTTTTTTCGCACTACCCCCAATTTTTATTGATAAATTTTTGAAACAAAATCGAACGCTCGACATGCGGCAAATTGCAACATTGAAATTTAAAAAAAAGTTGTCAAGCTTCAATCAATCAATCTTCAAATCAATACTTAGAAGACCAATAAAGCCACATATTTTCTATCAAATGATGTAAATGCTTCTAACTAGCCTTCAGTTTGGTTGCTGAATTTTTGGAAGTAAACCTAACGCGCGAAATGTGACAAATCGCAACACTCAAATTTAAAAAATTGCCAAAACTAGACAAATTTTGTTAGCAAATTCAAACTTTCAGGCCTCTTAGAGAGAAACGCGCTCTATTGAATCATTTAAGAAGTTTATTTCGCACTATCCCCAATTTAGCTTCATGAATTTTTGAAGCGAAACCGAACGCACGATCCGCGCCAAGTTGCAACATTCAAATTAAAAAAATAGTGAAGCATCCACGATTATCGGCAGTACGTCAATACTTACAAAACCAATAAAGCCACATATTCTCTATCAAATAATGTAAAAAGCATTCTTATATGTAGCTTTCAGTTTGATTGCTGAACTTTTAAAAGAAAATCTAACGCGTTAAATGTGACAAGTCGCAACATTCAATTTTACAAAATTGCCAAATATAGACTAATCTTGCAAGCAAATTCAAACTTTCAGAACTAAAAGCGAGAAACGCGCTCTATGGAATGTTTTTACAAGTTTTTTTTGCGCTACCCCCACATTTCCTTGATGAATTTTTGAAACATAACTAAACGCTCGAAACGCGGCAAATTGCAACATTTAAATTTAAAAAATAGTCAATCATTGACCATTATCGACAGTACCTCAATACTCACAAAACCAAAAAAGTCACATATTCTCTATCGAATGATGTAAAAAGCATGCTTCTAACTAGTCTTCAGTTTGAGAGTTGAATTTTTGGAAAAAATCTAACGCGCAAAATGTGACAAATTGCAATATTCAAATTTAAAAAATTGCCAAAAAATAGACGATTTTTTCCAGAAAATTCAAACTTTCTCAGCTATTAGAGAGAAACGCGCTCTATCGAATGCGTTAAGAACCCTTTTTTTACTACCCCCAATTTTGCTTGATGAATTTTTGAAACAAAACCGAACGCTCAATTGCAACATTCAAATTTAAAAAATTGTCAAATATTGACGATTATTGGCAGTACGCCAATACTTACAAAACCAATAAAGCCACATAATCTTTATCAAATGCTGTAAAAAACATTCTTCTCACTAACCTTCAGTTTGAGAGTTGAATTTTTGGAAAAAAATCTAACGCGCAATATGTGACAAATCCAACACTCAAATTTAAAAAATTGCCAAAAATAGACGAATTTTATCAGCAATTTGCAACATTCAAATTTAAAAAAATCCCAAGGATTGATGACTATCGCGAATACATCGACACTTACAGAAACAATATCGACCTATCTCTAAGATTGATTGATAAATATTTTAAACAATACCTACCTACTGGGCGAAATACAACAAATTACCACATTCAAATTTCAAAAATTGCCCAAAAGCGAAGAAAATTGCAAGCGGCACTTTCAGAACTCAAAAAACGAATATTTCTCTATGCAACTACCTAAGAAGGTTCCTTTTTAACTGTTTGGGGGTTAGTTCGGTTCATCAATTTTTTAATCAAAATCGCAACATTGTAATTAATAAATAGCAAAAAAATTGAGGAATATCGCGTGCAAATTGAAAATTTCCGAACCAATAGAACGGAATTTTCTCTATTAAATGCCCTAAAAGGCATCCCTCTAACTGGTCTTAATTTTAACTCGTCAATTACGGAACGGGTAAAATGCCGCAAATTGCAACATCCAAATTGCAAAAAATTGCTAAAGAAGGCGGAATATTGTAACTAAAAGAATTGTTACAGAATCAATAAACCGAAATGTACTCTATCCAATGCTTTAAAAACCACCCCCCTAACTAAGCCGCAGATTAATTTTATCGTCCCTAACTGGGATTAATTGCAACATTGAAAAATATACAAAAATATGGTGACCAAATAAACATTCGCAGAACAGATAGAGCGAAATGTTCTCTATCCAATGCTATAAAAGGCATCATTTTAACCAGACTTCGTTTTAATTGAGTGATGACGGGTAAAACTCAGCAAATCGCTACACTAAATTATTGAAAAAATTGCCAATGATTATTTATTGTGACCTGCGGATGCCAAAATAGATGGCAAAACGTCGGCAATTTAACAAATAACTTTAACAAGAAACTCCCCCATTAAGCAGCATCGTAATTTTTCATTTTTACTGCATCATTTCATTAATATTGTACAGAATTCATATTCAAATGTTGAAAATATTTGCCTAGCTGTTAGATATCTGATCTGTTAATATTTGCGCGTTCAGGTCGCCTGACGCTAATATTTAACCATGCACTTATCTCTCATATCGTTTTATCAACAGGTAAATGTATGCTTGGAACTTTATGTCCCATTTTTCCTGGGCACTTGATTGGCAGGAAAATATCCAAAACATTGGTTTTGCGATTGTTGCAAAACCCATTTTTAACAACAAAAAAACAAGTTCAAAATATATGGAGCGCGCACAATAATGCGAAGTGAAGCGAAGCAATAGCAATAAGAGATCCTTTTTAAACTTAGCTGCGTTTCGGGCAGGCAGACGAAAAATAATCTCCCTAAATCGGATGCTTTAGGACTTGTACGCAATAAACATATTTTTGTCCTTTTCCAGGTGAAGCATTCGGGCATAGAAATGGATCAGCCCTGTTTGAATCGTAGTTGTGTGCACATTGCCAGCCACATTTTAGATTCGATGGACTTTTCCATTGATCCATGCGATGACTTTTACTCCTACTCGTGCAAAGGATGGGTGAACGCCAATCCAGTGCCCGAAGGCAAAAAGAACTGGGGCACTTTCATGAAACTGGCACAGGAAAATTATTTGGTCATCAAACACGTTTTAGGTAACGCCTTATCAAGCTGACCAAGAATGAGCTGGATTAATTTCTCCAGTTGCCTCTTCCAGAGAAATCGATCGATACGTTCAAATCCAAAGCGGAAAGAAAGGCGAAAATGTACTACGAATCCTGCCTGGACACGAATGATACTGTAGAAACGCTTGGATCCAAGCCTATGCTTGATCTGCTTGCCAAACTTGGAGGCTGGTATGTTAGCACTCCGGATTACGACGTTAATAGTAAGCAATCAACTGAGATAATCGCCTGGAGCAAACTAAATTGAACAATCTGTTCCTTCAGACTGGACCTTGCAAAATACTTTGCAAATCGTTCAAAACAAGTATGCGATTGGGGCTCTGTTTTCCTATGGAGTTGGTGAGGATGATCGGAACTCTTCCCGGCATGTTTTACAGCTCGACCAAAGCGGTTTGGCTCTTCCAACTAGAGACAACTACCTGAACAAGACTGATGAGCATCGGAAGATTCTGGACGCTTATTTGGCTTATATGACAAAGGTAAGTGAATAAAGCGGTTTTCGATGGGGCTTCAGATTGTCAAGTTTAACATTTTTTTTTAAGGAACTGGGAACTAAGTCTAAGGTTATCTGTTATGTGATTTAATAGAGAGAGGATTTACTTTGTTATTTCTGTAAGTTTTGGCTTTCCAGCGGCTTTTGTTCATTTTTAATAATTTTTTAAATTTGAATGCTGCACTTTGTGGCATTTTGCCCGTTAGGGTTTGCTTCAAAAATGCTTCAATCAAATGCAGGACTAGCCAAAAGAGCGCTTTTAAGTGCATTTGGTAGAGAACATTTCGCTCTATTAAATACCAAGTTGTTAATTTTCTAGCATGATTCCTGGATTTTTGGCAAATTCGTAACTTTCAGCGGGACAATTTGCTACGTTTCGCGCATTTGGTTTTGTTCACAAATTTACCAATACAAAAGCGATTGTAACAAAAATACAGACAATCCAATTGAAGGACCAAGTTTTGCATTATTGACTCGGTAAATTTTGATTTACTACCTCCATTCATTGATGTATGGCAGTTTTTTACATTTCAACGATTTGAACCTTGCAATTTGTGAAATTTTGCCCGTTAGGAGTTGTTTCAAAAATTCATCACTCAAAACTAGGGCCATCTAGAAGAATGCCCTGTAGCATATTCGATAGAGAACATTTCCCTTTATTAGTGTTGTAAGTGGCAATTTTCTTCCGGTATTCTTATATTTTTGGCGATTTTTTAACTTTTCAGGATCCAATTTGCCACATTTTGCCTGAAAAGTTTTTTATCAAAAATTCTTCAATTCAAATGAGGGACAGTTAAAAGGATACCTCGTAGAGCGTTAGGTAGAGAAGATTTCCGTTCATTAGTTTTAGAAGTATCGATTTACTAGCGGAATTCCTCGCTCTTTGGCAATTTTTCAAGTTTATTGCATTTTGTGGCATTTGAACTGTTAGGCTTTGTTTAAGAAAGTCAGCAATAGTAAGTACAGTAAATTGTGCTCTACCAGCTCTGTAAGTATTGGTTTGCTCGCGATATTTGGCGATTTTTTTAAATATGGTTTTGGTTTTCCTTAAAAAAATCCTTAATCGAAGTGGTACTAGTATAATGATACTTTTAAAATTATTTCATAGGGCAAGCTTTGCTCTATAGGCGCACAATGTTGTTAGTTTCTCACACTTTTCCGTGATTTTTGGCAATTTATGAAATTTAATGTTGCAGTTTTTTCGTTAGAATCCATAGCCGAGTTTTCTGTTTTCGAAAAATGCAGCAATCAACGCAAACACTGGTTAGAAGACTACATTTTTAATCATTATATAGAAAAATATCCATTCTATGGATTCCCCGAGTAAGATGTTTTTTCACGTATCTCCGATTTGTGGCTTTTTTGATTTTGGGGTGGATAACACTAAAAAAACCCGGAATTTACTAACATTTTTGCTTAATAATGATAGATTGGAGTACTTCTTGGAGGTGAGCCAAACGCAACTCTTAAGCAGATGGAAGCAGTAATCGCCTTTGAAACTGAACTGGCCAACATAACCACGCCCAGTGAGCTGAGAAGAGATGACGAATCTCTCTACCATTTAATGACTTTGGCTGATTTAAAGGAAAAAGCCAACTTTGTAAGTGATGCATCAAAATTTAAGTTCAACAGTTTAATTGAATAAATCCACTTGTTCATAACTTAAAGGACTACGACGCACATTTAATAACTTAACTGGACACTGAAAATAGATTTTCAGTACAATGTTTCAAAGTTTTTACTGCAAAATTATAGGAAACAATGGTGGTAAATAAATCAAGATCTATAATTTCTTAATTGAAAAATGTTCATTTATTTAATATATGATTTATTAGAGCTGATTTTTTTTAAGTTTTGACAATAACACTTTTTCAGATAGATTGGAGACAGTTTTTCGAAAACGCGATGAAGCTGGTGCAGAAGAAGATCACTTTGAAGCAACAAATCATTATCTATGCGCCTGAGTACATGGGAAATCTAAGCCAGCTGATCCAGAAGTACGAGAATACGACAGAAGGAAAAATGTAAGTAGGTAAATTATATATTGAATAAATCTGCGATAAAATAAGTATAAATAATCGTATATAATAGTTTATGTTAAAATAAAATTTATCTTTGACTGAAAACAGAGGTCCGAAAATAATGAACAAAAATCGAAATTTTGCTTGAAGGAAGCACTTTTTGCAAATCTTTGATGCAATATTTGTTACTCTTAGAACACTCAACAACTATTTGGTGTGGCAAACCATCAGGACGTTTTCCCCATACTTGTCCAAACCCTTCAGAGATGCCTATAAAGGCTTGAGACTGGCACTGATGGGCTCAGATGCTAGCGAAGAACCTCAATGGCGATATTGCATTCAGGACACTAATAACGTTCTGGGTAAAGACATTTAAGGTTTAAAAGTTGCGTTATTAACTAGTATTTTCAGGCTTCGCCGTAGGGGCTATTTTCGTAAGGGAGGTTTTCAATCCCCAGTCGAAAGAGCAGGCCGAAATTATGATTGACAATATCCGCAATGCATTTAAGAACAATTTTGTTAATTTGAAGTGGATGGACGAGCAAACGAGAAAAGTGGCTCTGGATAAAGCTGATGCCATTTCGGATATGATTGGTTAGTAATGGAGTCAAAAGTTACAGGATTTTATTTCGAAGCAACTGATTCAGCAAAAGAGCTAAGAATTGCTTGAAATCAAGGAGCTAAATTTCGCAAAACTCACCAGTTGTAAAATGAGAATTCTAATACTCAGTGCAGACAAACAATTGGGGCTCAATAACACTTCAGACAGGAACCAAATCGCGAGTTTTCCAGCTCCAAAGTTAGAGAAAATTTGACTGCGAAACGTTCATTTTGTTGATCAGTTCAAATCATTTATTTATTTATTCATGTATTTCCATCAACGGGACATCATATGGAACTTATCTACCTTTACCCTTTAGGTTACCCTGAATTTATTAAGGACGTTGATAATCTGGACGCAAAATATGAGAACCTAACTTTAAGTCCGGATACTTACTTCGACAACAATGTGAATATAATCTACTACAACCTGTAGAACCCGATGAAATTTTCACCGTTGATGAGCATTTGAAGCTTGAAATTCGGCAAATTTCATGAAAATCACAGTAAATTCTAATTTTTGAGGGTTTGGTAAATGTTGGCCTAAAAATTAGGATTTCTGTCATGGGCACTCGCTGGCTAAAAAATTCCTAACTTTTACACTAGAGCAAGTAGCAACATCAAACTTTCCCAGTGCATCAAAAGGATTTATGACTTAAAACTCTGCCACTCTCATAAAAATCGTACTCAATTCTGATTTTTGTCGGTTTGGTAAATGTGGCCCTAAAAATGAGCGTTTTTGCTTAAGGGCACCATCTGGTTGAAGTTTTTTTACTATTAAATTAGAACCAGTGGCAAGATGAAACTTTCATCGTCGCTAGACAAAACTCGCATCGAAATACGCTGGAATTTTCATTACAATCGTATTAACTTCTGATTTTTTACGACTTGGAAAATCTTGGCCTGAAAATGCGCCTTTTCCCTAAGTAGTACCTTTGGCTAAAAAATCGGGAATTCTAAACGAGCGCAAGTAGCAACATGAAAATTTCACAATCTGTTGAAACCATTTGAAGTTTAAAACTCTACAAATCTCAAGTGAATCGTACTAAAATCTGATTTTTAACGGTTTGATAAATGTGGTCTCAAAAATGAGTTCTGGTTGAAAATTTCCGTACTAATAAGTTAAAGCGAGTATTCATATGGAAGCTTCAGTCTGCAAACAACGTTAGAAGTGTAGCAATTTGAAAATTTCATTGCAATCGCACTAAATCCTGATTTTTTAGGCGTTGGAAAATGTGTGCCAAAAATGAGCATTTTGACTCACGGACCCTTCTGGTCGAAAAGCTTCTTACTATTCAATTAGGGCAACTGGAAACATGAAACTTTTACAACATGCAAACAACATTAGCATCGCAATAATTTGAGAGTTTCCTAACAATGGTGCTAAATCCTGGTTTTTGACGGCATTATAACCATTAGCGTAAAAATGAGCGTTTTCACTTATGGGTACCCGCCGTCTAGAAAACTCCTAACTTTTAGACTACAAGACTACGCAAGTAGCAACATGAAACTTTTAGAGTCTACAAACAACATTTAAGTCATAATCGTTTGAAATATTCCTTACAATCGCGCTAAATCCGGATTTTTGACTACTTAAAAATTGTTGGTCTGAAAATAGCCGTTTTACTTAATGGTACCCTTTGGTTGAAAAATTCAAAAATTCTAAAGTAGCCCAAACGGCAACATGAAATTTGCGCACTCTGTTCAAATTATTTGCAGCTTAAAATTCTGGAAATCTCATAAAAATTGTACTAAATTCTGATTTGTGGCGGTTTGGTAAATGTAGCCCTAAATATGAGCGTTTTTACTTAAGGGCACTCTGTGGTAGGAAACTTCCTTGCTATTAAATTGGAGCACGTACCTAAATGAAACTTTTACAGTCTGCAAACAACATTCCAGTCGTAATAATGTTAAAATTTCATTACGGTCACACCAATTCTTCGGCTAGAAAGTTCGCATAACAGTTTTAAAGTGATATTTCTAATATCCAGTAAAGAAAAACAAGTGGGGCTCAATAACACTTCAGACAGGAACCAAATCGCAAGTTAATCCAGCTCCAAAGTTACAGAAAATTTGCCTGCGAAACGTTCGTTTTGTTGATCAGTTCAAATCATTCATTTATTCATGTGCTTGCCTCAACGGAACATCATATGGAACTTATCCTCGTTTACCCTCTAGGTTACCCTGAATTTATCAAGGACGTTGATAATCTGGACGCAAAATACGAGAACTTAACTATAAGGCCTGATACCTACTTCGATAACAACGTGAACATAATCTACTACAACTTGAAGAAGAATTTGGAGAAAATCAACGAACCAGTGAACAAAACAACCTGGCGTAAGTGAAGTTTGAAGCGCAACATTTCCTTCTAACCATCCCCTGTCCAGTCATGGTACCCTCCACTGTTAACGCCTACTACACGCCGACGAAGAACCAAATGGTGTTTCCGGCCGGGATTCTGCAAAGCCCCTTCTACAATCCCTCGTTCCCAGATGCTCTCAACTATGGGGGAATGGGCGTGGTGATGGGCCATGAACTCACCCATGGATTCGATGATCAGGGCCGACAATACGACAAGAATGGCAACTTGAATCACTGGTGGAACAACCAGACGGTGGCCAACTTTAAGAACAGAGCCAAATGTGTGGTGGATCAATACAGTAAGCGCCAACAACCAGGAGAAAAACAGTCCTCATTATTTGTATTCTTGAAGGCAACTACTCTATGGGTGACTCGAAAGTCAATGGGAATCTGACACTGGGGGAAAATATAGCTGATAATGGAGGCCTCAAAGCTGCTTACCACGCATACCTCGACCTGATGAAGGGCAAACCCGAACCGGAACGCCTACCGGGGTTGCCCCTGAATCACAAGCAGCTATTTTTCGTGGCGTTTGCTCAGGTAAGTCTCTGAAACTCTTTCAAGCATCTTCAGATGTTATGTTGCAATGTGCCTGCAGGTTTGGTGTGCTACCACCACAAAGGAGGCCACGCGCCTTGAAATAGAGAAAGACCCTCATGCTTTAGCCCCCTTTAGAGTGATCGGGGCTGTTAGCAATCTGCAGGAGTTCAGTGAGGAGTTTAAGTGTCGAAAGGGCAGCAAAATGAACCCGGAGAGAAAATGCGAAGTATGGTAGTGAGGCAGGCGGCGGGTAAAACTGAATGTGAAATTATCGTTTACTTAAGAAGAGAACCGCTGGTTCGGTTATTAAGGATCAACTTAATTAAGGTGGCTGAGAAATGCGGCTCCATCTGCAACGCTTTATTGCATTTTGTACAGTGTCGAGGAAAACTGAAGTATTTATTTCGATGCTAGAAGGAAGTGATTCTACTAAACTAGCAAGCTAAAATAATAAAACTTTTTAGGCTTTTCTGAATATCTAAGCAAAGCAGCGAGAGCTCAGATTGTTGAAAACTTTGTCAAGCTTTTAAGCTGTTTGGAAATGATATTCACAAAATTTGGCGACAGATTCTTCAAAAATATGATCTGAAGAGATTATGAAGGCAGACGAAAAAAAACCACGAAAACTTCGAAAAGTTCTAGTCGAACGAGTGATAATGCAAAATCCTTTTAGCGTCTTACCATTTTGCTCAAAAATTTTTCGTTAACCGACGAGATTTTAAAAGCCAAAAAATTCAATATTAAATTCTATTGGAGATCTTTAGCCAAAGTTTACAATTTTCAAATTTTTGTCACCTTTGAAGCAAAGGATACCAAATCTATTGGTAAATAATCTGTTACCAAATTTTGAAGCATTTATTTCCAGGTTTCATATTTTTGTTGTTGACTATAATATATATTTTTTTTATTTTTAGCAATTTTCCTTATTTTAGCACTAGAATTTTACTATAAACTGCTGATAAAACTTTGATAATTACTCAATATCACGCACTATTGTCGCTATTTATTTTCATTTTTTCACATATTCACTTCCTACCCAAAACCCTCAGATATTTTCTCATTCTTTAGGCGACTTCTATCTTACATTTATTTTGGGTTTATTCGAAATTGCTCGTTTGCTCATTCATTTTTTATGTTAATTTCGATTCCTTAAATGCATTTCATCTGAAAATATATTAAGCAAACTGTACTATATTACAGCATTTTAATGTAATTAGACTGTAAACAGTATATAGGTTATCAGAAGTTATATTTTATTTTTACATTTTTATATGTTCACATAAGGCTAGAACGGGTACAAGTAGGTAGATAGTTAAGTTAAGGTATAAATAATTGTAACTAAAACAATTAATATTAATAGGTAATAGGAATATTCTGGCCTCAATTTTAAGCCAAAGTATTTGTGTTCCGTTCCTAAATGGTTTATCTTATTATATTTGTTATCTAAATATTATATGAAGGTTATTTGTACGTAAGGATTGCTCCATGGAAATTCAAAAAGTACAATACATGCCAAAACACTAGTCGTACCAAACATATCTATCATTTCTCAGTCTGTCTGGTTGTTTTGAATTGTATATTAATTATATTATATAAATCCCTATATCATTAACTATTTAAATTAAAGTCTGTATTAATATGGTGCAAAGAGATGAGGAAAATTTTATGGTCGTTTCTGTGTAGATTTTTACTGTGATAATAAAATGTATATAAATATTTGAAATGTTTTTAATACTCTAGGTTAAGATTGTTATGAAGAAGATGCACCCTCTCGATTAAGAAATCATAACTCTGAACTTCGCACAGGTAGCGCCATGAAACTTGCGGCGTATGGACACAACATGTGAACCCTGCGACTCCGAAATTTTCTTTAAAATCATACTCAAGATTTATTTTTTACGACATTGGTAAACTTTGGTCTAAAAGCAGCGTATCTGCTATCGCGCACCATTTGATTGAAAAATCGCTAACATCTAAATTCCAATGAACAGCCAGACGAAAAACTATCACATAATGTAGAAAAGAGCTCAATCTTGAGACTATAAAACATTTTTATTATTTTTTTATTTTATTTCTCTAAATACTGATTTTTTACGTGTACATGGTCTGAAAATCGGCGATTTTGTTCTAGTGCATCTTCGGGTTGAAAAATTGCTAACTTCTAAACCAGAACAAGCAGCAAAATGATACTTTCATACTTCATAGCAAACCTGTTCTGGTCTCAAAAATTTGCAAATCATTTAAATCAAAAGAAACTGAAAATATTGGGGGCTTAGTAATGTTTGCCTAAAAAGAGCTCTCCCACTTAAGTGCATCCTCTGCTTGGAAAAAATTATAACTGTTAAACTCGGAAAAGTAACCATCTGAAACTTTCGTAGTCTGTAGGCAATATTTGTATCTTATGAGCCTGAGATATTCATTATCGTGGAGCAGAATTGAACACTTTTGCCGATTGATAAAATTTACCAAAAACTCTTCGTTTTTACCCAAGCGCACCCTACTATTAAAACATTGATAACTTTTCGTTGAGCGCCAGCAGCAACTTTATATTTTCACTGTATATAGAACATACTTAAGTCTGAAAATTATAAAAATTTTATTAATTTCGCCTTCAATCCTGATTTTTGGGGAGTTAGGAGATTATGCCGCAGAAATGGCGATTTCATCCGACCGCACTTTGCATGAAAATTTCTCTAGTCGAACCCCGAACAAGTGTTCAAATAAAACTTGTACAGTCTGTAAAAAACATTTGAATGCTGAAACCTTGAAAATTTCACCTTTTGACGGTTTAGTAAGCGATGGTCTAAAAATGAGCATTTTTAGTCAGTCAAGAGCACCTTCTGATAGGAACATTTCTAACTGCAAATCTAGAACAGACAACAAGATGAAACCTTCCAAATCTGTATAAAACGCATAACCTTTGAAATGCTCCAAATGTGATTAAAATCGCATGAAATGCCGATTTTAGACTTTTAAATGTTGGTGCAAAAACGGGCGTTTTCTCTCAAGAGCACCATCTGATCGAAAAATCCTTAGCTCTAAATCTAGAGCCAACAAGAATGTGAAGCTTTCAGGGTTTATGGACAACTCATCCACCATCCAATGTACAAAATTTGATTCAAATTGTATGAAACACTGATGTTTAAAGGCTAGCTCAATATTGACCTAAAAATGAGGGTTTTCACTCAAGCGGTTAAAAAAAGATCTTCTAACCTAGAGCAAATTTCCGCTTGATATTTTCATAGTCCATAGAAGACACTCGCAACTGCAAATTCTGAAATTTTCAGAAGCGCCCGCTGCTTGGAAAATGGGTCGCCTCTAAACGGGAGCAAGTAGCAACTTGAAACTTTCACGTTTACTAGAAAAGACGCGAGTCTTCACGCATTGAAAATTTCATTAAAATTGTAGAAAGTTGTGATTTTTCAGAACTCAATGTCTGCTGGTAAGTGCACCCTCTGGTTTGAATTCGTAAAAATTCGTAAAAATTTTGAAATTTTTGTTTAAATCTTCCCAAAACCTGCTTTACAGCGACTTGGTGAATCGTGACTTAAAACTTAACGATTATATTTCTAAATATCTATCTATATTATTTATACCTCTAAACTAGAACAAGAGCAAGATGAAACTTTTTCGGTCTTTAGACAACATTTCAGCTTTCAAAGCCTGAAAATTTCATTAAATCGCACTAAAACCTGATTTATGACGACTGGGTAAACGTTGGCCTAAAAACTAAATTAAACTCAGCATTTTCTCATCAGAACTGAGCTTGATGAGTTCAATTGAGGGGAACTAGTTGGAAAGTAGTTACTCAATTCTACAGAGTTGCCGAAACCCAAAAAAATCCACAATTTCTTCCTGGAATCGAAGCTTCTTTGTAGAAAGCTGGCAAACTAAATAATTTGAGCTGATCGCCTAAAAGGATTTGTGCTCGATCCTCTTTCATGTAAATTGAGCAGCGTTTTAGACACCGAACACAACAAAAACCCCCTTCCTATCGATTCCCAATCAAAATAAGCTTTTATGCCGACTTTATGCCGTACATTTCCGGACTTCCGTCTTTACTCATAGCCCGTTTTATTATGTTGAAAACTCCAATTTGAATAGAGCTAAGGCGACAATAGAGCTGTCCAATAAGGATTTTATAGATCTTTTGTGCGCTGCCGTTGCTTTTTAAGCGCGCATCACTATTGGGAGGGTTTCGTTATATTAGAAAGTTTATATCGCCTGTCATATTAACACATGAGTCGTAAATTATGACCGATAATAAATCAGCACTATTTAGCGCATAAAAATGGCTACGCATTTAAGGGCGGAGCCATCAGAAGATAGTTAAATCGTAAGAAATACTGGGGCGATTAAAATGATGCACTTCAAGTCGCAGATTTTTATTTCATCAAAAATTTCAGTGTGTCTGACCCTTTGGGAAACTTTTGTGATTGATCCATTGTGATCGCATAAAAAGTTAGGTTTTTGCGGTTGAAATTGACCCAACGGCTAGCGAAGAAACTGCCCCTCTACTTTAGCATGATAAAATATTGTTTTGGTTCCAGATTGCAAACTGTCGTAACTTTCTCGCTGAAACTAAATAAAGTTTGTTGAGTATTTAAACTGAACTATCATAAATAGAAACTATATCGTATACCAGCCGGGATATTGCCCATATAATGTCGGAAATTTTCGAATCAGTTTCGTTTTGGATGTGTTCTTATTGCCTCTTTTACTTACATAACATCAGTTAAGTGCCACAATAAATCCCATAAACTGTACAAAGTTGGCAAGTTTACTTTATCCCGCTAAGTTTTCACAATCGGGATGGTTTTGCTTTTATTGGCCGACGGGCAAAATGTACGCAATTCTGTCCACTTTATTGGCGACTTCATTTTTTTACTGGATAGAATAAAATCCGCTGGGATTGCCAGTCGACACACCTGAATCTTTGCTCACCTAGTATAATTCACAGGAAAAACAAAGTTCAAGCGTAACGACAACAGCATTGTGGTTCTTCCGTTTCCGCTCCGGCCTTTCTCCTCTGATGGCCTGTAATGCAATAGTGGCTTTTGTTTCATCTAAGTACTTATTTGTGACCCGAATTAAATCACAATCCTCAAATGCACACCAAATTAACAACGGGACATGAGGAAATTCTAAATTTAGCGTGAAAAGTGAATGTTTCCATCCACATGAAGAAACTGACTAGAGGAAGAATAAAGATTGGTATCTGCCGCCACTCTTCTGTCTTTCTCTCAGAATGTTCTGAGAAGAATGGATCAGAATGAAGAGCATAGATGAGAATTTTTTGATCAACTGCGATTGGTATTACTACGCGGCCAATAATTTTGCAAGTTTTAAACTACAAATCAAACTGCGCGGTTCAAACCGTTTTCCTTCCATTCAAAATATTGATGTAACTTTTGATGTAGAGCAAGTAGCAATTTGAAACGTTCACAGGTTCTAGAAAACCTTTGCGTGTTTGAACTAGAAAAATTTGGTTGAAATTGCATCAAATCCTGATTTTTGACGGCTGAGTAAATGTTGGCCTAAAATGAGTGTTTTCACCCAATGACACCCTTTTGTTGAAAATTTGGTAGCTTCTCAACTAGAGCGGGTAGCGCGCTGAAATTTTCACCGTTTGATGCCAGCATTTGTAGCCTCAACTTCCGCAAATTTCATGGAAATCACAGTGAATTCGAATTTTTGAGGGTTTGGTTGGAGGGAGGACATCGCTGGCAGAAAAATTCCTAACTTTTAGACTAGACCAAGTAGCAACATGAAACTTTCCCAGTGCATCAAAAGAATTCGTAACTTAAAACTGTGCCCCTTTCATAAAAATCGTAATCAATTCTGATTTTTGTCGGTCTGGTAAATGTGGCCGCCCTAAAAATGAGTGTTTTTGCTTAAGGGCACCATCTGGTTGAAATTGTTTTACTATTAAATTAGAACCAGTGGGAAGATGAAACTTTCACCGTCGCTAAACAATATTCACATCGAAAAACGCTGGAATTTTCATTACAATCGCATGAACTTCTGATTTTTTACGACTGGGAAAATAGTGGCCTGAAAATGCGCCTCTTCCCTCAATCGTACTTTTGGCTAAAAAAATCGATTCTAAATTTCGAAACTAGCGCAAGTAGCAATATGAAAATTTCACAATCAGTTGAAACCATGTGCAGCTTAAAACTCTACAAATCTCAAGAAAATCGTACGAAATTCTGATTTTTAACAGTTTGATAAATGTGGTCTTAAAAATGAGCTCTGGTTGAAAATTTCCATACTAATAAGTTCGAGCGAGTAGCATAGTAAAATATGGAATCTTCACAGTCTACAAACAACGTTAGAAGAGGAGCAATTTTAAAATTCCATTACAATCGCACTAAAGCCTGATTTTTTACGGGTTGGAAAATGTGTACCAAAAAATGCGCATTTTGACTCACGAACGCTTCTGGTCGAAAAGTTTCTTACTATTCAATTAGAGCAACTGGCAACATGAAACTTTTACAATATGCAAACCACATTAGCATCGAAATAATTTGAGAGTTTCATAACACTGGCGCTAAATCCTGTTTTTTGACTGGATGATAAGCATTAACATAAAAATGAGCGATTTCACTTATGGGCACCCGCGGTCTAAAAAACTCCTAACTTTTAGACTGTCGCAAGTAGCAACATGAAACTTTTAGAGTCTACAAACAACATTTAAGTCGTAATCGTCGGAAATG